CCATGGGCGGAGCTTGAAAAGGGGATTTCAAGAAAACGAATGGAAGAATGTGGGGGAAGAGAAAATCTAAGTTTCTTAACGTTGTTTGGAGTGTTTACAAAGTAAATGGCGTAGTTAGTGTATCTTTGCTCGATCTGGAGGGCCAAAGCTAGAAATGGGATGATATGGCCCTGCCCCATGAACGGGAAAACCACAATGCTCTCTTCTTTCAGTTCCCGACGATCCGCCATTGTTGTGTTGTTGTGTATTAGCTATCTCGCAAGGAAAAGGATATCTTTTCTTTATTAATGGATGAGACATGCCATGAGAGAGAGAGAGTACAAGGGAGGGAAATCGACAGAAATTAAATTGGTGTGTCCCACTCCCACACTTCTTCCCTGACTCACTTTTCTACGGACCTAACTCCTGAAGGCCAAAGAAGAAGAAGGCAAAAAGAGTCTTCTTTTTCTTCTCTACACCATATATTATTGGCTACGATCCTGATAACTTTTTGGATGCAAATTAGAAAGTATGAGGCTCATTAGATACCTATCTAAAATACTGTTCTGAACTACTTGGTGAAGAGTTAGTTTTGTCTCTCTGTAATTCTGGGAAATACTCAGTTCTTCGTCTGCTTCCATTCTTGGATATTTCAAATAAGATTTGTCTCTGATTACAATCTTTAGGTGCAACCACTTCAAATTTTGTGTCTCAATCTCTTCCTTAATTCTTTTTGAGATTTTGTTCTTAATTCATTTGAATTTCGACCTGCTTCCACTGACTTTAACCTCCCTATATTTTAAGTTAAATTGAATTCAATTCATAAGGGGAAAAGGAACAACAAAAATTTATGGCGGACACTGGTTAGGCAAGTGCCGTATGAAAACTGTAGTTTTGTCGGAATAGTACGAAGTAAAAATAAAGGAAAGCCAAGCATGTAAAATAATGTTAGTGTCCTGTGGACAAGCATTTACTGCAAAAATACGTAAATACAATCAAGATTTTAAATGTCGATGAAAATTTCGAAGTCTCACTTTCATGTAAATATGGATAAAATATAGATGTAGATGAATATTTTTATAAAAATCTTTAAAAAATTTTAAATTAATAAATAAACATTTTTCTATTTCTAAATAAATTTAAAATGATTAATATATTAATATTATGTATACATGAGTGAAATTTTGTTGCTATTCTTCATATATCGTCGATTTATTACTCACGTCGATATTGAACTCATGAATATATGAAAATGTCAACGTGTCGATTGATATTTAATATTATGAATACAATTAACTATCGTTAAAAATTTCATCTTTAGACAAAAAACAAATAAAGCGAGAATACCGTGAAGAAAAAGGACACCTAATAAAAAAAAAGTGAATTTTATTATCACTAAAATTAGATTAAGTAGCAGTTTATTATAACTTTTGAAGATGGTTTGTATAATTGGCTTAAATTTTGAAACTTATCTAGTAACCTCTTGGACTTTCGATTTGTATCTAACCGATTATTAATCTATTTGATATGTTTTTAAAATTCATAGACAATTAAATTTTATTTTTAATATGATTTTGATTAATGGTTAAATTTAAAAAGAAAACTAAGGTCTAATAAATAAAAAACCTATTAGACACAAGTTTATAAATTTATGAGATTCATTTAAAAATTCATAAACTTATTAGACATCATTCTCAAAATTTCTAGACTAAAAGTAAAACTATAATAAAAAAGATAAGTCATTTTATTTTAATATATATTTGTTTTAATGATGAATATATATTTAGATTGAAATTGGTCTCACCGTCAAAATAGAGGAGAAATGGAAAGTATAGTGAGATTCGAAGATTAAAAACATGAAAACAATTTAAGAATAAGTGGATGAAAATTATTTTTCATGGAATCACAAATTAAAATTAAGTAGTATTAATTATTTAATTAATGAGAGATATGGCAAAGCGCACATAGTTCCATTATAATTGATATATATATCTCCAATAAAAAAATAATAATAGATGGTAGCTTGGCCCGTACAAGCATACCTCAACTAGAAGTGTTCATATTTTCGACCCGTGGGGAACTTGCCTTAAATGAGATGAGAAGAGGATATTTTGTCCTTGTTACCTAAACCTAAACGAACTTTCTTCATCACCATTTCTGTCTCATTACCTATATATATATTTTTTTGTTAAGATATTGTTGTTATGGTTTTACAATTTAATACATGTATATGTATAATTAGATCAAGATGAAATATTATATATTTTTATTAGGTAGTTTTAAGAATTTTTCTTTCACGCGAGAATTATCTATAGGAATTTTGTTAGGTTAGGAGGAGTTCAAACAAAGTTTTACATTAGAGAATCTATTTCTATTGGTAGGAAGTCTTTTGGGTGAAATTAAAGGAAAATGTTATCAAGACCATACCCAATCCCCACGAAATCTCAACAGATGAAGCACGTGTGCATTGCAATGTAAAGCAAAGCAGAGTTACGTAGTGGCTTTGAAGGTCCCACCAATGACTTAAAGTCCACAAATTCAGCAAATTAAGAAACGTTACTAAATGTAGAAAATGATCCTATTAGGTTTTTCTTTTTTCCATTATTTCCTCTCTTTTTAATAGGAGATGACTTTCTGTTGACAATAATAATAATAATAATAATATCGGATCTTTTATATTCAGTGATGATTCGAACCTACAACTTTTTGAGGGGAGATAAATGTCTTAACTAATTGAATTATATTTAAGTTGATAATAATATAAATTTACCACAGTAATTATTGTTTCTCCTTGAGGAGACTTAACTCCATAAAAATATATTTGATAATTACTTCTAAAATGTCTCTTTTGTTTTATTTAGCGGTAACCATTTGATTGTAATTATCCAATTTTCTATAGAAATAAAATTTTTGATGTCTTTTCTTTTAAGGATTAATCATAGGAATCTCAAATAATTGTGACAAAGTACGTTAACAATTTAATGAAAATTAATTTAACGCAATTAATATAAATGAGTCAACATTAGCACACTTTAGGTGTCAAAGTTGAGCTTCTTCTCAATTACAAAATGTAGTATACTTTTCCTACTCTTTGGTAAATAACGTATGGAAGCGAAAGATGTCAAGTCGGTCAATTATATTAGGTAGGAGAGACACACATGACTAGTCTTAACCATAAGTGCACACGCTATTCGATTCCATCCTCGAATCCCACTCTATTAAACTTCCAAAATTTGTCTCTCTTTTTGACTCTAATTAGGGGGGAGGGGAAGGTGACAATCAGTAGACTTTCTTTTTTATATCGCCGTTTCATCAAACAAAATCTCCACGTTCCAAATTTATTATACTAAAAAGTAAAAAGCTCAATTAATATAAATTGATTATAAACTTAATTTAAACGTACTAACTAAATCTAAATCAATTAACTTTAATTAAATAATAATAAAATATATTTTAAACAAAACAATATATAAATCATCTTACCAAAAAAATTGTCATTTCTTCCAAAAATAAATATGTATAATAAGTAACAACATTGATTTTTGAACTAAAAAAACATTAATTTTTATAAAGTCATTTTATTGTAATTCTATAGAACAAAAACATAAAATGTTTCACATTAGTATATCCCAACTAATTAAGGTATATATCCTCGTTTTTTGGCCAGAATCTATTTGTGTCCAGTCAAATGATTAAGTAAGTTAAGAGAGAAAAAAAAAAAAAGTCCTTCTCCTGAAATGGCCCTTGGATCATAAAGAGTAAATCAAAGAAATTGGACCACAAGTAAATGGTAAAATTGGGATTTTTTCGGTCCTCTTTGACCCTCCTTCGCTTGGTAAGTAAAAGACATAAGCTAATATTATTTTTTTTGGTTCTAACAATTATCGGACAGAAGATTGAATCTTCTATCTTTGAGATAATAATAAGTATCTTATTCACTAAAAGATTAATAGAACAACAATTCAAGAAAATCTTATTCTTTCTCAAGGATCTCAAGAAAATAAAAGGTAAATAAGATCTTTTAAAGTTACTTTCAAGTCGCAACCACATACTTACAAATATCTTTGAAATGAAAAATTTTAACATTCCTCATATAAGTACAGTCTTATATCATGTAAATGGAAAAATCCCCTTTAATTAGCTCTAAATGACAGAAGCTAGTGTTGTATTAATTTCCAATCATCCACCGGAACCCTTAATTTAAAACACTTTGGTTTTATAAGATACCTTCAACTAATTCATATTCATCCATATGACTCTACTACAACATAAAACACATTAAAAGATATTACTCTTCAATTGAAAATATCTCATTTCAGATAACATATATTGACAGTTCAAATGAATCTAAATAATTTAATCAATGATCTAGCAAAGTAGCAAATATGTTTCAAACACAGAAGCAAAGCAATGAATTCACTAGATCTGATTGATTTCAAACCTCTATTCTTATTTATATATAACAAGTTACCAATCGTTGCAAAAGTGCAAACTATCCAAACAACTTTGGTTGTACATACATTTTCACAACCTTGAGGGCAGGATATGAAGAAGTATATAAGCTCTCCCTGTAAAGCCCCAACCAAAATGGCAGTGGTGAACAGAAAACCATATGAACATCTCTGGTTGAGTCGAGATTTTAAATTTCTTTGGGGAAAACTCAGAGAGAACAAACTCCAAACAACCTAAGTAGGTGACTTGTACCTGCAAACAACTTTACACCTTAAAATTCTGTCTTGTACGTAAAATCCCGGCATCACCATGATCTTAACTCGGCTCGGACCGTTTCTCTGCCTCTCCGCAAACATGTCTTCCATGTAACTTGAATCGAAGCTTCTATTCTCTTCCACCCTCAGAATTTTGAGCGGCGGGTCGAACGAGAAGGCAAGCAAGTGAAGCAGCCAAATGCATTTGGCAGCTACAAAGAATGCTTGAAGCAGTTGCTCTGGCCATGGTCTGGTCCAATTCAGAGTTGTGATTATGCAGCTCATCTTTTGATCACAAAACTTGCTGAATTCTTCGCTGTAGTATTTTGTTCCCTTCCTCAACACTTCGTTCCAGCTGAGATTTCGCAGTGCCACAAACGACGAGAACTGTGCTTGGCGATCTTGCAGAGGGTCTAGCAGCTTGGGGGAGCCATTCTTCTGAAACACGCAGTTTTCAAAGTCTTGGTAGAGTGCCTGATTGATAGTAGCTTCCAAATGGTACAACACTGCTCTTGAGTACTTGGAGTTTAGAGATAGTTTGTAAGGTTGAAGAAGTGAATTCAAATTCTCCATCAGGGTACTGTCAGTTTCTTCAATCTGGCCCACAAGTGTCTTGCAGAATTGTTTTACTGATAGTCTTGCTTCTGATACTATCTGCAAGAAGCCTTCCACCATTACTTCCTCGCTCACTGGCATTCGATTTTCTCCGTTCGTCCCCACATTTGATGTTGTTCTTTTTGGCAAATTGGTAGGAGTTTGGAGATCTCTAGCATGTGTTGCTTGCTTCAAAGCTCTCTTCAGTTCCTCACAGTAAGTTTCTAAGCCCTCCAGCTTCTGCCTCAGCTCACCTAATGACGACTTCATCTCGCTAACCTCCATCAATGCAGCATCTCTCATCTCATTTGCCTCAATCAATTCTTTCCTCAACGTTTCCATCGACACTATCCCCAAATCCTTAAAAATCTGAGAGACATCCTCCGACTCCGTCCTGTTAGGGGAATTCTCAGTCTTATTCTTCTTCTTTAAACGTGGAAACAACCACGAAATCACTCCCCGGCTCTTCGGTTGCGATTGAGTTGCCAAGTGAGAATCTGTCAACGGCACTATGGTGTTCGAAAGCCTGCTATTCTTTGCTGTATTGTCACTCTCCTTTGTAATAACTGCAGGCCTGCATCGATTGCACGAAGAAGTCGATTTCGAGTCCCCCAGACTGTTCCTCCTAGACGATTTGAAGTAATCGTTCGCAGGTGAAGTTTGAAGGGCAGATCCAGTGAGAGGCTTATGAAGATCTTCAGCTGGACAAATATGAGATTCCACATTGGTAAAGTCAGAAGCCAACCCTTTTGAAACCTCCTTATAATCAGAAAAAACTGTTTCATCTTCATTTCCTCCTCCTCCTCCTCCTAATCCATACTCATCCCAGCTTTCTGAAAAAGTTCCAATTCTCATCGGAACTTGGTGGTACCCGTTCGACGGTTCATCTTCATAACTCTGCAAACAGACTTCCAAATTCAACCAACTTCACAGAAACCCATGCTTTAATTACTCAACAACCAGATTGATAATTGATTCTACCCTTTGACTAACTGTTAACCCCTCATAAATGTATTTGTTACTCTAAAATAATTTCGTGGTTCACACTTCACACACAGCCAAAATATACCCAAATGTTCGATATCATCAATTAACCAAATTAAGAGAAAATGACGGATGCGAATGTGAAAAAGAAAGACGGTGATCCTATAATGTCCTCAACTCAAGAGAAGGAAAAAAAGACATTAAATGCTAACCATAAATGCCCAATCTGTGTCAAAGATGCAAAATAAGATCCGTAAATCATAATCAGAGAATCATAGAACGAAATTCAAATTAAGAAAGTTCAAAATTAAACAGCAGGACTTCAAAAACAAAAAAAGAAAAGAGGATAATCAAATATTTGGAAAAGGGTGTTGCAGTAGAACTCACAGGGGTGAAAACAGGGTAATCTTGAGCAGAGAATTGAGAAGCAGCATGAGAAACGGGAGAAGCCGAAGGGAATCGGAGGTTAGAGGGGCTGCTTCCTTGCATAAGAGCAGCGTGGAGAGCCCTCAGCTCCACAGCTTTGGCAATGGCCGCCTGAATTTCTTGCCGGCTAACTTCGTTGCCGCCGTTCTGAAACATTTGGGTCGCAGCCATGGCGTAACAGAGTTTCGCATAGACCCAGAAACGCCCGCCCAACGGTAGATGGAATTGAAGAAAAAGATATAGACTTTTTTTTCCCTAAAATTCTATTTAGTGAAGGGAATAAAGAGAAGCATTAAGAAATGGATATAGAATACGTGGGTTCAATTTGCAGAGACATGGATCATATCCAGTTTAGAATGCTGGGCTACCAGAAGAGAAGCGAGGGAGAGGGAGAGGGCGAGGGAGAGAGAATGGTATCTCAAAATCCAATGAAGTTTTGTCTGTGTTGTGAGTGGGAATTAATGGAATGAAACCATGTGAAGGAGAGAGAAGGTGGGGGTAGAGAGATTTGTAAGAATTTGAAGAGAGTAGTTCCAATTTTAACCGTATATGGCTCTGTCCTCACTACTCACAGAATCATGTCACCATTTCATGTTCACCAAATTGCCCCTCTTCAC